GTACCATTATACGGGCCATTTAGAACACAAGGACACACACACACACACACACACACACACACACACACACACACACACACACACAAGCTCGTGGGGGGGGGGGGAAAGCCACATCCGCACATGCGCGGGCATGGGGTGTTGTGGTGCGTGCTGCAGCACACTGCAGTTGCACGTGCAGTGCTCACACATCACCCATGTGTGCACGTCGCATGGCGCACCGCACCACATAGGTGCGCCGCAAGTATGGGTACAACCCATCGATTTAACTGATGGAGGATAGCAAGGAAACTGGACATGAAGCAAATGCACGCCAGGACCCGGCAAGTTGTGCACGGATGCAGGACTTACGAATCCCCATGACCGGCAGTCACTGTGGTCTTGACCGCGGTGTCCGGTCACGACCAGGAGGCACCGATCATGACCGGGGGTCCCGGTCAAGAGGGAAACAAAAACAAAAAAAAAATAAAAAAAATCCTAGACTACCAGAGGCATTCAGAACACTCAAATCTGCCAGTCGATTGCTCTGTATGCTTCCACTCTGCCATAACGCAGGAGAACAGTGGGAGTGTCATGACGCAAGACCAGAAGCATTCAGAGCACTCAAATCTGCCAGTCCATTGCACTGTATGCTTCCACTCTGTCATCCTGCAGTTGCATACTGGTTCAATGGTACGCCTGTGAACCTGTTGATAAACAGATCATGAGCTCAAATCCTGGATGTAATAATTGTAGCTCCATGAGCCTCTATTGTCCACTACACTTTATTAACGCACCAGTACACCACACATCGGCCCGCGGGTGTCAGCACGAAACCCGCACCACTTCGGAGGCCGCCGATTATTTTTTTCAAAGGCGCCCCATGCCGCACGGCCCCTCCGAGTTTTGCTTGTGGCGACAAAAACTTTCTGCAAGGCTGGGGCCGCGTACTTCTGGTTTAAACCTTCGAAGCTACAGAGAATCAGGTAAGGTATTAGGGCTGGAACTGGGACCGGAGGAGACAACAACTGACTGGTTCTTGTTCACGTGCACCCCTCGATGGGCAGCATTGTGAAGATCAGATGGCTGTACATGTTCCTTTATCCCCAGAATCACAGAAAGAAGCACATCTAATTATGATTTCTCATCGTAATCTTTTATCTCCAGCGACAGGCGATCCGATTACTTTACCTAGTCAAGATATGCTATTAGGATTATATATTGTCACATCACTACAAACTAAAAGAGCGCACTTTGCGGAACAAAGAATAAAAGCAAAAAACGGGCACAGTGATAACATGCAAAAAT